GAATTTTTAATTCATTTTCCCCATTGTTTCTATGATGTTAAAAATTAAACTTAAATGCCCCAAAATCTGGTTACTCCTCAGTTTGCCTAATTCAAAAATGTAACATTTTCCTTCTTTATGGATGTTTGAAACAGAGAATTTCACTCATTCATTTATGCAATAAATATTTCTGAGTTTCTACTGTGTTCCACAATTGTTCTATGCAGAGATTAGCAATAATGTGTTTGTTTTATCCAAATTTGGGTCAATTTTTCTTTGTTTTTTATTTTTACAAAGATTTTACATTTGTCTCCAGGTGACACTCTTTTCTTTTTGATAGGGGCACTTATAATGTCCAAGGATTGAGCACCTGAATTAATCTGAAATATAATTATACCACTTATTAATTATAGAACTCATATACTCATGTGAGGAAGAGTTTAAGTTTCTTTTTCCTTAATTTTCTTTTTCCTAGGCCTTTGTGCCCGTACACTGCCCTTAACTCTGGACAAAGCAATTTAGGAGGTGGTGCAGCTGTGGACAATGTATCCTTGAACAGATGTGGTCAGGCCAACCCAACCAGGAGCCAAGACATCATCTTTTGAGACATCGCCAGATGACCGAGAACAATAGCTGATGCCTGCTGACCTCCGGGGCTGCACAGTAGCTGCATTCCGTTCCCAGTCTCAGTTTACCTCATTTCCCTATATAACCCTATCCCGTCAGGCCATTCCTTAAGGCAGGTTTTGGATGCTCGTATGCTCCCTGTCTTCTGGGTTGGCCGACCTTCTCAATAAATGCCTTATGTGATTCAACCCTGCCTCCGTTGAATTGGACACAGTGACAGGCAGCCTGAACCCCTCTGGGGTTTCCCAGTAACATTTTCTCCCTCTCAATGTATGTGTTCAAAGGGACATTATTAGGCATTTGCACTTCTTTCCACCCCTACCCTATGATGAAATACTGTTTATTCATGAGAGGTTGACTTCTGTCAAATTGTATGCAATGTGCAGCAATGTTCCACAAGAAAGAGTAACATCGTTCACCCAGGAGTGAGGCTGCCTGAGAGGGTTAACCACAGCACCAGCCCAGTAGGGGTAAACTGAGAACAGCCTGAAGGGCCCTATGGGAGCCCCCAAGCCTGGAAGTCAACATTTGTGGGAGAAAAATAGGGTTTACTTTCTCCCACCATATCTAATCCTAACTAATACAATATACTACCTGAGAAACTGGCTTTAAAAAAACCTTTAAAAATTCTAAAGGTCAACAAAACAAGAAATGACATGTTAAAGGGTTCACAAGACATTTGTATAAACAGAAAAGTCACTCCATGACCAAGAGTGAACATGTCTGACAAATCTATTCAACATTCGGCCACACTCCATAAATTTGATGAATTTGGCAAACTGATGATTCAGCAAATTGGTTTTGAGCACATTGAGTTTGGTTGAGATGATTTTTGTAAATTGCCCATTCAATGAACTGTATTCTCTCAAAGTTAATTTTAGCCATTTGCTTGCCTCATCTCCCATATTACAGCACTTATTTTACTCAAGTGTAACAGTAGTAAAAAGAATAGCTAACATTTATTGAAATTGTACTTTATGCCACCTCTAAACTAACCACTTCGAAAGGATGTATTTTAAAAAAATCATCGCCATCATCAATCATCATTATTTGAATTTGAACATTTTTAGGCGAGACGAGCACACACTGGTCTCACCACACGCTACCAGATAATCACTGCCCCCTTCATTCATTTGTTAATTCAATGCCCTGAGGGCATTTCTCTTTGTAACCTCTGAATGCAGGATCTCATACTTTGAAGGTGAAAATGGTCAATGTATTAAAACATTAAGTTATGCCGCCTTTAGGAAACCCCTATGGATTTGGTTGTCATCAGAACTACACTGCGCCCAACTGAAGCCTGGACTGCATCTGTCTTGTTCACAGTTGTATCTCCAGAGCCTACCAGTGAGCCTGACGCTAAATGGGTCCTTGGGAAATATTTTTTGAATATTTGATGAACGATATACCCTTTTCTCCATTCCCATTCTTTTACTTTATCAACCCTTCGTCTTCCCTGCTTCCAATTTTACCTGAACCCAATGTATACCAGACATTTTCACTCCACTCATGTAAAAAAACCACCACCAAACAACAACAAAAAACACGTCACTGACTCACCTTAGCTAAGGGATCAAATCAAAACTCAGTTTGACAACTAAGATGACCGGGACCCAGCCTCACCTTCCTTCACTCAATTTCACATTGCCCCTTCTTGCAACAATAGATTGCTAATTCTCTGGACACACAATGCTATGCATTTCCATAAATTTGTTTAGATTGCTCCCCCCTTCCATGCTCCTGGGAAAGTGTGGGGGTTTTGCTGGATCAGCACATGCCCATCACACTCTACATCCTCAGAGCTTCCTTAGGCGGACTGTTATCTTTGTGCCTCATGTTGTGTGGCATTATTTACGTTTTTGTGTTGGGATGAGGGTAGAGTTTTGTGTGTTTTTCCCAAATAGATAACCGATCATCCAAAAAATAATTTCATGAATAATCGTTCTTTCCGCCTTAATTTGAAATGTTAGCCATATCATAAAATAAAGGCGTGGGTATACGTCAGATCTATCTCTGGGGTATCATTTTCCATTGACTTATTTGATTTGTGTCAAATACCAAATGCTTTTAATTATAGTTCTTTACAGTGTGTCTTGATACCTTGCAGGCCAATCTCAGGGGGAAGTAAAAACAGTATATTATTTTTGGTTTATTTTGCACATCCCAAATTGCCTTAAGACTGAACATCTTCCTAACTCTAACCAAACAACCCTAATCCTGGAACCCTAACCTTAACCCTAAGCCTAACCCTAAACCTGTAACCCTTAGACAAACCCTATTCCTAACCTTAAGCCTAACCCTAACCACCGAACACAAGCCCTATCCCCAATTCTACCCCTAAAATTAACTCTAAATGTAGCCCAACAAACTTAGCCCTAATTCTAACTGTAACTCAAACCCTAACCCTACCCCTAAAACTACCCCCAACTGAAACCCAATGACACTAACCCTAAACAAACAAACAAACTTTTTATAAAAGATTGAGCGTCTTTCCACGTTTCTTGCCCATGCGTGTCTTCTCTCCTGAGGATGTCCAGTTCACACCCGTCAGTCCTCTCGCGCATACTGAAGAATTCCTTCTTCCAGCTCCTTCGGCCTTAGGTGCCTTTCCTAAGGATGAAGTTTTAAATTTAGGTGCCGTTACATTTTCAATCTTTCCCTCTACGGCTTTTAATTTTAAAACTTGCTAAGATGTCTCTTTCCCCTTTCTCGAAAGTTGTAAAACTCTTCTCCATGTTCCCTTCATTATTTTCAATGCTTAGGTCATCAACCCACCCGGAGGAGGGAGCGCTGAAGTACAGCGGGGTGAGGGGTTTCCCTGCCGTCCCAGAGGGACAGCGTACAGACCAGAGGGGACAGCTACAGACCAGAGGGGACAGCGCCACAGACCAGAGGGGACAGCTACAGACCAGAGGGGACAGCGCCACAGACCAGAGGGGACAGCGCCACAGACCAGAGGGGACAGCTACAGACCAGAGGGGACAGCGCCACAGACCAGAGGGGACAGCTACAGACCAGAGGGGACAGCGACAGACCAGAGGGGACAGCGCCACAGACCAGAGGGGACAGCTACAGACCAGAGGGGACAGCGCCACAGACCAGAGGGGACAGCTACAGACCAGAGGGGACAGCGACAGACCAGAGGGGACAGCGCCACAGACCAGAGGGGACAGCTACAGACCAGAGGGGACAGCGCCACAGACCAGAGGGGACAGCTACAGACCAGAGGGGACAGCGACAGACCAGAGGGGACAGCGCCACAGACCAGAGGGGACAGCTACAGACCAGAGGGGACAGCGCCACAGACCAGAGGGGACAGCTACAGACCAGAGGGGACAGCGACAGACCAGAGGGGACAGCGCCACAGACCAGAGGGGACAGCTACAGACCAGAGGGGACAGCGCCACAGACCAGAGGGGACAGCTACAGACCAGAGGGGACAGCGACAGACCAGAGGGGACAGCGCCACAGACCAGAGGGGACAGCTACAGACCAGAGGGGACAGCGCCACAGACCAGAGGGGACCGCCACAGACCAGAGGGGACAGCTACAGACCAGAGGGGACAGCGCCACAGACCAGAGGGGACAGCTACAGACCAGAGGGGACAGCGCCACAGACCAGAGGGGACAGCTACAGACCAGAGGGGACAGCTACAGACGGCCCAGAGGTACGGGCGGCAGCGACCTGGTCCCGCGTGGGGAGGGCGCTGGCAGACAGGCTGCGGGCAGGCGGGTGGGCAGCTGCCCTGAGCTCGCGTCTGACGAAAAGGGAGCGCGTGGCTTCCCGCAGGGCACAGCCGAGCTGAGCTCACAAACTAGAGCCGCGGGTCTTGGACTTGTGCCTGAAGCACCTCACGTTCCCGCACCTTCATCGTCAGAGCGGGACAGGGGCTCTGAGGGCGGGGTCCACCCTGCAGACGGTGCCCGGCCCTCCAGGCCAGGAGCCCGCGACCGTCGCCGTCGGGATTCCCCAGCTCAAAGCCACATCTTCTCCCGCCCGGGAG